TCATGGTACCCCCCCCCCCCTCCCATGTACTCTTTGGTCCTTGGCTTTTTCCGGAAGGAGGTGTCAGAAGTAGCCAAGTGCAGGGTAAACAGTGTGTGTGTGCGTGTGTGTGTGTGTGATTGTGTTTGTGTGTGTGTTGGTGGGGCTCGGCCTTTGGCCTCTGTGAGGTCGGATCAGCAACTCCACCCTCCACTGATCAAAGATGAGGATCCTCCATGCCAGGACCTTGGTCAAAGGGGACAGGGCCGGGAGATGAACTCTGCATTTCTGTAATCTGGACATGTCCAGACCCGATTGTCTTCTTTCACAGCCCAAAATGGACCCTTCCGGTGCTGCTGATTACATTAAAGAAGGCAGCCTTTCTTCACAGGGGTGCCCAAACAAAAGAGGCGCTTCTGTGCCCCTCGCCATCTGGTCCCAAAATAACAGAAAAGGCCTCAGGGAAAAAAGAAAAAAAAAAAGCCCAGGCTGCACACAGTCTTAAATAAAAGGGACGCTGTTTGAATAGATGGATGGCTGGACAGATAGGCAAACATACAGTAAAGCCTCACACAAGTACGCCGAGATTGGAACCCAATCTACATCAGCAAATAAAGCAGTGTACATGGGCTCTGAGGAGCAGGCCTGCAAGTCTTTGCTGGGTTTAAACAAAAATGGAATTCAGCTGTGCACCAAATAGAGAACTGTGCCACACATACATCACTAATATTCCAAATAACCAATGCCCAGAAGCTCTTCCACTACTTTATACTAATCTATGACATGCAATCATGGACCACATGGATGGATCTGTGATGAAAATGAAAAGAAAAACACTAATATGTGATCATTTTTATTACCATGGTGTCGATAAATTAAGACATCAAACATTAGGCGTAGTCCTCAACAAAAAGCCAATGCATGAAGCAACTGTCATTTTATTCAGTAAATCTGCATTGTTGTATCAGAGGTGCATCAAATTAAAGTTGATTGCCAATTAGCTGTATTTGCAACATCACAGATATTGCAGGTCTGTCCTAACCCTGCAAGTTTCAACTTGAGCTCAGTCCTCTTCATACTGTTTGTCCTCTTGACTTTCGACTCCTCACTTCACATTTAACATAATTTTACTTTTCTTTTTCCAACCACCGCAACAGCCATTTAGATGATCTGGCCCAATTCCAGCTCACGCTCACTTAAACTCCAATAAATCCCACTACTGATTAGTCTACCTTTGTTATAGCTGAAAAATGCTGCTAAGAGGCATTCGATGTAATATTACCATATCACAGATGAGATTCTTTTGTAAAATGTTTTGTCCATCTCCTGTATGTGTAGTGCACTTACTGCGGTACAAACACAACAGAATGCCAATCCAGCTATTAACACCCAAATGAAAAGTCTGGCTTCATGGTTGTAGTAACCAGACAAGGGAACATTTTTGCTGTCAAGCACACTAAAAGATGTAATAAATACCTATCAAGCATTTTTAAATAACGCAAAAAGTGCTAACCACTGGAACAAACCAACTACAAAGTCTTGACTGCTTCCTTTTGAAGACTGTCCAATTTAAAACCCAGAATTACTTTGTTCAGAGTCTAACAATGTGGTCTGTTCACCTCAGCAACCTCTGAGAGGTTTACACGTTCAACATGCAGAAAAAGCTATAGTGTTATATTGTCGCAAATTGTTTAACTTGGGGCTTTTGTGAGCTCTGTTTTACTAATCCTGATTATTTGCTCTGTTATGCATGGCCTGTTTTCACTCAAAGTTTTAGTCCACAAGGAAATTCGGTAAATAAACAAACTCATTAGTGGCAAAGGTGATGGTGCCCTTGATCTTGAATCTTTTTTTCCAGGAGAAAGGTGAACGTACAGCACTGAGAAGTAAAGTCAGATTAAATCATCTGCTCATGGGACAACCAACTTTCTTATGAGAACCGATTTCACAACATAGTTACTAGTACAAAACTACCTTCAACATATAAATTTTGCACATATAATTCAAACAGCTACAAATCACAGGTAAAAAGCACTTCAAGCTTAAATTTTATACTAAATGATTTTCAAAACCTTGAAGTTTGACAAACTGTCCAGTCACGATAAAGCAGTCTAGACCATGAACCAATTCATTCTCTTTTTCAACATACATACACACACGGTCCACATAATCAACTACAGCAAATAATTTACTTGTAAATGAATCAACATATTCAAGTTTTTGATACACCTGTTGTCCTAACTTTGAAAGTATAGTCTGGGGGGCTGAGGTAATCTTAATTAAACAGCATAGGCAGATTATACTGATGTTTTAATGAGCAACAATGTTTTGTTGGTAGAATTAGGACGTACAGAACATCCTGCACCTCAAGATGATTTTTGATAACGCTTTTCTTACTAGCTCTGAACTCCAAAATGTTACATTTAGTTTTTTTTTTTTTTTTTTGCTAGCTTTTTATATTCTACAGGCTTTAATTTTCCGGCTTCCTGCTTTTCTTGCTTCCAATCTTCCCTCTTGTTCTTTATATAATATTATAACATACCTGGGCTCAAAATGTTTTTAATCACTATACAAGTGAAGAACTGTGATTACACACTAAATGATGCACATCTAAGGGTCCAAAAATGGTTAGGTGACAAAGATAAATAAGCCGATTTATAAAAATAAAATGTGAATGACAGTCTGCTGGTAAGGGTTCTGACAGCTATATCCTGAGAAGAGTGGAAATTACAGACCCACTTCACACATGACAACAATCTCTTCTCATCCCTGCTGTGATGCAGCAACATCTGTAAGTACTTTACGTCTGATTTTTCATCTGTGTCATTTCTAGAAGCAGCAGTTCATATTAAAACAATATGGGGAGAATACAGTGAAGCAGGTGAGGTGCTGTGATCTGATATTCTTGTGATCAAATTTAAATGGAAAGTAAGACTTCAGAACCAG